ATATCTATATCTATATCTATATCTATATCTATATCTAAGATATAGATATAGATATAGATATAGATATAGATATAGATATAGATATAGATATAGATATAGATATAGATATAGATATAGATATAGATATAGATTAATCGCTGCGTATGTGAATGTGGATCGGTTTTTCTTTTAGTAATCTATGTACATACATATGTGCATAAGAATGCACAATACGCAAACACTTTTTTATATGTGTATAAAGTTAGCGAAACAATATCAAGAAAAAATGTCGCATAAACCCATGAATTTGCCGTTAATTAGTTGTGGAAAAAATATCTTTATAGCTCTGGTATTTTTGTAGATATAAGGTTTTTTGCACCAATCTCGAAGACAAAAGACTAGGCTTTATGTCAAAATTTGCCGTTTTTTTCCGTTCTAAGATGAGCTAGTAGTTTACTTTTGAAAAAAATTTTTTTTGCAATTTTTTTTTTTGTTCGATATTCAATAATTTTTAGAAGAAAAGGATAATAATATAATAGAAAAGCAAACCCGGTTTCTTTATGTACCACTTTGAAATTTGAACAAACAATAATCACCATGGTTAAAATTCAAAAAATTAAGAAGCTTCCTTATCACAAATAAACGACAAAATCAAAAACAGTTTTAATGCACAAAACATTTCAAACGACAAATTATGCAACAGAAAAATTAATTATTTTTATTATTTTTAACCAATTTTTAAACCGCTTTCCATGTGCCAATTATTATTTTTTTTTTAAATAAGGCTCTTTAAACGAAAAACAATTAAACGACAAAATCATAAACAAATTTAGTGCACAAAACCAGCCAAACGGCAAATTACGTCACAAAAAAATTAATTGTTTTTATTATTTTTAACCAATTTTTAAACCGCTTTCCAAGTCCCTATTTTTTTTTTAATAAGACTTTTTAAACAAAAACAATTAAACGACAAACTCAAAAATAGTTCTAATGCACAAAACAAGCCAAATGGCTTAATGTGTTTAATTGGTTTTTGTTTAAAAAGCCTTATTAAAAAAAGAAATAGGGACTTGGAAAGCGGTTTAAAACTTGGTTAAAAATAATAAAAACAATTAATTTTTTGTTGCATAATTTTCCGTTTGGATTGTTTTGTGCTCTAAAAATGGTTTTGATTTTGCCGTTTAATTGGTTTTTGTTTAAAAAGCCTTATTAAAAAAATATGGACTTGGAAAGCGGTTTAAAAATTGGTTAAAAATAATAAAAAACATTTAATTTTTTGTGACATAATTTGCCGTTTGGCTGGTTTTGTGCACTAAAACTGTTTTTGATTTTGTCGTATAATTGTTTTTTGTTTAAACAGCCTTATTTAAAAAAATATGGACTTGGAAAGCGGTTTAAAAATTGGTTAAAAATAATAAAAAACATTTAATTTTTTGTGACATAATTTGCCGTTTGGCTGGTTTTGTGCACTAAAACTGTTTTTGATTTTGTCGTATAATTGTTTTTTGTTTAAACGGCCTTATTAAAAAAAAATAGGCACTTGGAAAGCGGTTTAAAAATTGGTTAAAAATAATAGAAATAATTAATTTTTGTTGCATAATTCGCCGTTTGAATTGTTTTGTGCATTAATACTGTTGATTTTGTCGTTTAATTGTGATAAGGAAGCTTCTTAACTTTTTGAATTTTAACCATGGTGATTATTGTTTGTTTCAATTTCAAAGTGGTACATAAAGAAACCGGGTTTACTTTTCTATTATATTATTAACCTTTTCCTCTAAAAATTATTGAACATTAAAAAAAAAATTGCAAAAATTTTTTTGTTTTTTTTTAAATTTGTTTTTCAAAAGTAAACTAGCTCACCTTAGCCCATTAGTGCGTGAAGTTCCCTGGCGCTATACTTACCTTTTTTTTATCATTATGCATTGTAATAAGTCTAATAAAGTAGTTTTAATTCGATTTATTAAAAAAAATTTGTTTTGGGGGTTTTGGGGACCGTCCCTTATAAGGGACACTATGCAGTATGGGCATTTGAAGTGTGATATTACTTGAAGCATTCTTTCGGATGAAGCCCTTTCTCGCACTTTAAAAAGTTAGACTTCTTTCCGCAATAGGCACATCTCTTATCCGTATTCGAGTACTCAATCATATGGTTTTTTCCATCGTAGCGCGCATCAGGATTGATGCTGGTTCTACTCGATCCTCTTGAGGACGGCATTCCGTATCTCTCTAGATACGAATTGGCTATGTACCTGCGAAAAATTAGCAGAGTGCCACAATTTGGGTCGTTCGGATGAACTTTCCGCATAAGGATCCATGCGTTTACGATCGATGCGTCCAACAAATATGCAAATATGGGCCACCACCACTTACGCTGTCTAATTCTAGACCGGTACACAGCCACCATCTGGTCCATTTTATCAACGCCTCCCATGCCTTGATTATAGCGCTGAAGAAGTTTCGGCTGTGGTATCTGTATCGCACCTTGCCCTCTCGCGTAGCGCTTGCACGTCCCGATATCGTTGGTATCAAAGTTGGAGCCAATGGTCACCACATTATTATCTTTCCATCTTACAACGAGAATCTTGCCATCGTCAGTAAAACGAAAATCGCTGGATCCTCGCTGCTCCTTTTTCATGGCGGCTATTGGACGAAGAGGACACTTCTCTATGCGACCGTCTCTAATTGTACCAGATGTACAAATCCCCATACTGGCCAAATTGCGCAACAGTTTCACGGACGTAAAATAGTTGTCGATGAAAAGCTATAATGTAAATTATATTATTATTGTAATATCATATGACGAACATTTCATTTCTTACCTTGAATCCCTTATGGTGTGGTACATTTGCTTTCGTGAGGAGATCAACCACTTTGTCACCTCCTACTCCATATCCTTGTGGGACGCTCTCTGCATTTTTGCCCATATACACATCGAACTGAAGCATATATCCATCGCTGGAATTCAGAGCCCAGTTTTTGAATCCAAATCGAATGGGCTTACCACGGATATATTGTTTAGCATAGTGCCTACCATAATACGGTATCATGCTCTCATCAATGGAGAGATTCTCGTCCATTCCACCATGCTTTAGAAACACCTCGTTCAGGTGAGTAATTAGTCGCCTAATTTTGTAAAGCCGATCGGTACCCTGGGCTTGCGTGTTGTCATTCAGATGGAAATTATTTAGAATTTTCTCAAATCAATTCAGCCTCATGCTGTTCGCTAGCAATCTTGGCGAATCAGATTTCTCCGACCAATACAAACGTTTGTTGGGGTATTTTGCGTACCCCGACATCAAAATACCGCCAATAAAAACTCTCGCCTCGTCCATACTCATTCTCAGGTCAACATTTTTCTGAAGAGCATATAAATTTGTCTGCTCAACACAAAAATTTATAATGCCTTCAGAAAAAAATAGCTCAAAGAAATCAGTAGGCGAACTGGCGGCTTGAGCTTCGGCACTCGGCGGTATTGTTTCGCATTCCGTTTGAATGTCGTACACCGGGTCCACTTTTCGCCAACGCAAGGCATTTCCCGCACGCACACTCGAACTGACGGTTTTTCTGTATTTAGCCAGTGGCTCATCGTCACTGTCACTCCAGTCATCGAATTCGTCTTGGATCTCGCCTTCCGCAGTCAATAATTTCGGGCCGAGATGATCCAAGTTCGCCTCGTGTTCGTCATCACTACCGTCCGAATCCTGGTCGGTCTCATTTTCCTCCAATGGTGGGATTGCAAAAATGTTAAGTTCTTGCAACTGACCATCAAAAGCTTCGATCTCTTCCAGTATTTCAGCCACTGTTAGTCTGTAATAAAATATTATTGTTGTAATAAAATATTATTGTTAACTGTCCTGTCTGCATAGCGTCCCTTATAAGGTACGTTGGATAAATAACGGTATTATTCACAAATTACAATATTTTTATCACTCACAACAACTTAAATTTGTTTATTACAATAAATTTAAGATAATTGCATTTAAAATTGTAAAATAATTTCACCTGTATTTATTTGTTATTCACATTTACTTACCTCCCACGTGTTCTGATATTTTTTTTTAGTTGTTGTTCCATATTTCGAAAAAAAATCACACAATTTAAAGCTTACTGCACTGCAATCAATCACAAACTGGTTTGGTGTAATAGCAACAACTATACCATCAACTTACATGAGATCTGTATTGCAAAATGGGAGAGTAAGAGAGCAAAAGCTGACCGTCCCTTTAAAGGGACCTTATGCACTAATGGGTTAAGCTGGAAAAAGCAAACACATTTTTTTTTGTTTCGCAACACTTTAGCCTAATTTTTAAGAATCCGGTTAATCGTTTATGAAGCTTGAATNGGGACCTTATGCACTAATGGGTTAGAACGGCAAAAAAAGGCAAATTTTGACATAAAGCCTAGTCTTTTGTCTTTGAGTTTGGAGGGATGCTTTGCTTACTTTATATAAAGTTAGCAAAACACCTTATATTTATCTAAAAAAATACCAGAGCGACAAAATTATTTTTTCCACAACTAATTAACGGCAAAAAAACGGCAAATTCGTGGGTATATGCGACATTTTTTTCTTGATGTTTTTTCGCTAACTTTATACACATCTTTTTTATCGTATCAGATCTGTTCGTTCGATTTTTCAAAATGAGGTATCAAATTAAGTAATTCTTCAGTATCCGACTAGCAGTCATATCATACGGTCGTGGTGCGCTTATTGTTCGTTAATTCTTCTTTCTCTGTATTCGTACAATTAGGAGTACAATAACAAACTGATCTTTCTGCTTTGTGATACCTGCTGACTAAAATAACCACACGTGTTTGTAAAAAGTTATCAGCATGGCCCCTGGGGCCCCAAAACTCGGGGATAATAGATTTGCCTTATTATCCCCACCCACCCGTGCTAAACGTAAAAAAACTACAAATATTAGTGAAGAGTTTCCCGAGCTTCCAGTGACGAAAAAAGACGACCCTAAATTCGTAACAATAAAACCAAAAGACTCAAATAAAGCATTCACCGAATATTCAAATTTTGCATTACATAAATCTCTTCTTTCCATATGTAAGCAAATTAATTCTATTTCTCAACAATCCGACGGCAGCTTAGTGGTCCTGGTGAAAAATCGTGAATATGCGAAAAAGTTTATAGATGCCCGCTTACTTCCTGGTCTGTGTGCAATTACCGCCAACTACCACGATAACCTCAACTGCGTTAAGGGCACTGTATATGTCCCTTTCCTCAACAACGTCCCCGAAAACGAAATCGTCGATGGCTTGAAAGAGTATAACGTAACAAACCTTTATAAATTCCAACGTATTACAGAAGGAGTCTCTAAACCCACAGGAGTAATCTTAATTTCTTTCGACAACTACTTTCTCCCGGACAAGATTGACATCGCATGGATCACCACCAAAGTACGTCCCTTCTACCCGAACCCCATGCGCTGCAAAAATTGCCAGAAGTTAGGGCACACGCTCAAGTTCTGCAAAAATATGCCAGCTTGCCAATCATGTAATCTCCCCCCTCACACACCCGCTCCATGCATCCGCACCTACTGTGCAAATTGTGCAGGCGAACATGCTGCTTCATCCAACTCGTGCCAGAAATATCAGCAAGCGAAAGAAATCATGAAAATAAAAACGCAAGAAAAATGCACTCTGCGCGAAGCGAACAAAATATACAAAACCCGGAACCCTCTCTCCCTGAATCCAAACTCACTCGCTAACATTATAAAAGAAAATAGTTCAAACCAAATATCAAAAGCAATGCAAAATAGTAGCACTAACTACAGCCCAATGACTCAAGAAAATCCATCAATAACAACTTTATATTCAACAACAACACCAATCAGCAAACCCATAGTCCCAAAAACCAGTTTTCCCTCCGCCTACCCCACCGTCAACAATCAATCACAACCAATTGACACAGTAGAACCAACAACAGACACTGCTAATTTTGGTACAACAACGACAACAACACCAGACGACCTCTCTCATATTACAGCACTTCATTCGCTCCGCTTTGAAAATGATTCAGTCGCTTTTAGTATTGCAAATCTCCCACCTTTCGAACACTCAAATAGCATGGAATTGGAAGCAGCACAACAATCAACTCAAAATTTTCATTCGACAAGCAATATACATCTTACCAACAACTTAAATGATTTTACCAACTCGTCTACATCATCAGCAGCTAAAGAATACATAACATCGAAAGTTATACAAAACAACAATAAGTAAAACTACTTTATTTTACAAACGACTACTAATTACATACAAACATACAAATTTAACCAAATTAGATAGTTTATACATTTAAACAACATATACATATACACCTATCTGATATACGTAGTTATTTAATATTATGCTTAAAATTGTACAGCGGAATATCAGAGGATATTTAAATAATTATAATGATATCGACTTAATTATCCGGGACATTCAACCCGATATAACATGTCTGCAGGAAACCAAGATTCCTATCAATTTAAAAAATCGTATAGTTCCTAAGTCTTTTATTGGCTACTTTACTAACTCTGCACAAAATAACAGTTCCAAAGAAGGTGCAGCCACTCTTGTTAAACGAAACATTCCCCATAAGTTAGTAACACAATTTAACTCGATCCAATCAATCGCAATAGAAATTTATATACCCTCCCCTATTACACTCATCAACGCCTACATTCCACCAACACAAAACTTTACTGAATCTGACATTTTTTCCATACTCCCACGATCACATGGCCCCTCGATATTTCTGGGCGACTTTAACGCTTGGAGCCCATTGTGGGGATCAAAAAAATCTAACGCTCGTGGTACAACAATTGAAAACATTATCATGTCCAGAAACTTAACCCTCCTCAATGACGGCTCCCCTACCCATTTCTCCACCCATGATTCCTTTACCCATATCGATCTAACTCTAGCTTCGTCCCAACTAATTCCCAAATGCACTTGGAAAAGAATTGATGACTTGTATGGTAGTGATGACTACCCGTTACTTACTGAAGTACTTTCTAACCTACCAACTAGCAACCTAATAAAATCACCAAAATTCAATACCGATGCCGCCAATTGGCATCAATATCAATCTTCATGCGAGGAAAATTTCAGGACTGGAGCACTAATAATATCCATAAACTCACAGCTAATATTACTAAAGCCATCAGATCAGCTGCCAATATCGCCATACCTCAAAGTAACACTACCCCGATAAGAAAGTATTCCGCATGGTGGAACAGAGATTTGCACGTCCTAAGGGTTAACAAACAAAGACTCTGGCATTCCTATAAACTATCTCCATCTGTAGACCTCCTTGTGGCCTACAAAATAGCTAATGCACAGTTCAAAAAATCTGTAAAAGAAGCCAAAAGGAAGGCAATCTCCAACTTCACTTCCGATGTCAACCCATCCTCTACACCTAAGAAAATCTGGGCCAAGATTAAAGCTCTTACCGGTATCCCCACACCACCCATAAAACTAATTCAATTACCAAACCGCTCCCTCACAGCAGCATCAGCAATAGCCAACGCTTTCGGTAAAACCTGGTCAGAGTATGCAGAAAACTCCAGCTTCCCAACTGACTATACTAACCGCAAAATTTCAATACTATCACATAACTACAAACCACTAAATGTCTCGAGGGATGCAACTTGTTTGGAAGCCGAATTCACTTACGTCGAACTGGAGCTTGCCCTTCAGCATGCCAAAGGGAAAACGTCGGGGAGAGATCGTATATCCTATCCTATGTTACGAAATCTTCCAAAATCTGCGAAGAACGCATTGCTATCCTTATACAACAAAATACTCGATGACGGTACCTATCCCCATTCGTGGTTATCCGCTTCTGTCCTCCCGATACCGAAACCAAACAAATCCCCAGAACTTATTAATAGCTATAGACCTATATCCCTCCTTTCATGTCTTGGAAAAATACTCGAAAAAATGCTTACACAACGTCTTATGTGGTTTATCTCTAAAAACACCCTTGTTAGCCATAATCAAGTGGCCTTTAAGAGAAAGCACGGCGTCCTTGACTGTCTGCTCCCTCTTCAGCATTTTATTACTGATGCACTTTCAACCAAGAATCACGTTACCATCC